TTGTTCGTCGCAGATTATCAGTGAAAAATCCCATTTCACCTACCACAGTAAATGGTAATATTCTCTCAATTTGTTCTAGTTTATTATTCTCTGCTGAAATCTGTGTGACACTCAATTGTCCTTTCTCCACCACATACATAAAATTTGGGTCAGATCCTTTCTCCCACAGTGTTGAATCCATTTGTACTATTTCCTCTTTAAAATATGGAACCAACAAGTTAAAGAATCTCTCATTCTCATTGGTAGTTTCATTAAATGCTTTCATTAAAATATTTACAAATTTGCATCTACTTTTAAGATAGAGCTCATCTAAATCAAATGTAAATTAATTTTTATATACATATATATGTAATGATTGATTGATTAATTTACTTACTTTTATATATATACTTTCCAGCATTTTCAACTTGATAATTACAAAAAGTCTCATCATTAAGTAAAGATGGTATACTCTGATGTTGAACTCCAACTTTAATAAATATTAAAAAAAAATATTATTAATGGATTTTTAACATCCAATAAATTTATATTATAAATAATTACCAAGCTGGTTATCATTGAATAGTGGTTTGTGTTTAGCATAATAAGTTCCCAAAAGTGAATCTTCACACCATTCAAGTGCCTCATTATATTTACTAAAAACCTTTACATAGTCATTATGTGAATCTCTCCAAAATGACAATTTCTCCAATGGTTTACGAACTTGCTCAGAGCCATGCGATGATATTCCACAGATTGCAAGGTATATTTTTCGATGCTGAAGATGCTTTTGAATGTTTTCAAGCACTTGGACAGCATTCATCTCAAATCCAGTAACATCATACATATTCAAAATTAAGAATTTGATTTGCTTTGACCCCTGTTGACAATCAATCAGGAATTCCTTTATATTATCTTCAATACCTTTCATTGTTCCATAAAATATATAGCCATCCAATATCTTTACATAGATTTGAATACCACCAACTTTTTTGAGAAATTGTTGGTCACGGAAATGTCTTCGGACAGAAGATCTAGCTGAATTGTTAGGAAATATTGTTCTAATTTTTCCTCTTTTATAATTTGTTATTATGAGAAATATATATGAGAATACAATTCCTAAAACTATTCCTTCAACAAGTCCAATAGTAATTATTGCAATTATTATGACTATGATATTGGAATATTCACAATTATCAGAAATTTTCCATGAATCTATCAATGCCTCCCCTATCAATTTCAATCCCAAATAAATGATCATTGTGAATATGACTATTGTAGGAATGTAATTAATGAATATTTGTCCAAAATATACTATTATACTGATCAAACATGCAAGTATCAATCCTACAATACAATTATTTACTCTTGATTTGATCAATAAAGTTGATTCTTCATACTCAAAGGAAACTAGTATTATTGGTATTATTAGTATTAGGATTATATGATTTTCACAAAACAAATAATTATATTCTAACCTTGTAAATGCCCAAAAAAAA